TTGGGCGAAGGGGGAGGGAGAGTCAGGATGAGAGTGAGAGAGTTGTCATGGTGACTGCGATGAACGTGCAGCTGTGGCGAACTGTGGAGAGGAGCGACGTCGTGGTGCAAGTAAGAGACTTGATGGGAGGGAGAGCAGGGAATCTGACTCGCAGCAGGTGTTGGACTGCCGAGACCCTCTCTTCTTCCGCTCTTCCTCGCTAGAGAAGTTCGTCCACCTGATCTCCTCTCGCTCCTTGGTGCTCTGCCGCCCGATGTGCCGATGTAGCTGACTTCGCTTCAAGCATTTCAAGCCTGAAGACGCGGAGGAGGAAGAGCCTTCAGAGCGGAGGAGATGGCGGTCGGACGCTGCCCCTGACCCGGACGATGTCGTTGACGACTGGAAGTTTGAGGAGGAAACGCAGGGAGAGGACTTGATGGCGAAGGGCGTCAATGAAAGTAGAGTGGAGGAGGACGGGGAGCGTCACAGCCGGCCCAAGACGAACGTCCTGCTGCTGAACAAGGCTGATCTTGTACCAGAGGAAGTGAGAAGAGAGTGGGTCAAGTACTTTCAGCAGCAGGTGGCTATTCTTGCTGTGCTCCCCTTTTTTTGAAACTTCTTCCTCCTCCTGCAGAAGCTACCCTTCTTCTTCTTCAGCGCTGCTCCTGAGCGTGACAGAGATCCAGCTGCTGATGGAGGGAAGGATGAGCAAAACCGACACCAGGAGCAGGAGCAGGAGCAGGAGCAGGAGCAGAAGCAGAAGCAGGAGCAGGAGCAAGCAAAGAACGCTGAGTGGCAGGCGCAGGAGGGGGAGCATGTTATTCTGAGTACGTGAGGCAGGCACGAAAGCGAATTTGTTGATGTTTGCTACCGCACAGATGCTACCGGACTGCTTGTCGCCTTCGATGCGATGGCCAAGGATGGAGGCAAGGAAGAGGGAGGGAGGGAGGGAGGGAGGGAGGGAGGGAGGGAGGGAGGGGAATGGGGGAGGAGGACTCTTCTGATGCTGCTCTCAGCAGGGAACCATCAGCGGTTGACCGTTGGGTTCGTCGGGTATCCCAACGTGGGGAAGAGCTCAGTGATCAACTCGCTCATCGCCGCTGGGAGGGAGGAAGGAGATCGGAGGATCTCAGTCGCCCATGGCCCCTCCCCTGGAAAGACGAAACATCTACAGGTGCGGAGGAGGAGCAGGAAGAGGAGGAGGATCAGGAGGAGGAGGATAGGGAGGTGGAGGATAGGGAGGATAGGGAGGAGGAGGAGGAGGAGGAGGAGGAGGAGGAGGAGGAGCAGCAGCAGCAGCAGGAACAGGCTGATCCTGACTTGACCTGACTGCAGACGATCTTTGTAAGGAAGAACATCTGTTTGTGCGACTGTCCTGGCATCGTCTTTCCATCTGTCATCAATAGCAAGGTCATCCTTCTTCTCCTCCTGCTCGTCCTCCTCTGTCTCGTCCTTCTCCTTCTCCTCCTTCCCTCGTCCTTCCGTCCCTTGTCCGTCCCTCCCTCGTCTGTCCGTCCCTTCTCCCTCCTCCCCTTCTTCTCTGTTGACTCGGGGAGCAGGCTGATCTCGTTTGCAACGGCGTCTTGTCCATCCACACGCTCCGCGATGTCGTCGAGCCCCTGCAGCTTGTCTGCGAGTCTGTGCCCCGCAAGGTCACGCAGGAGGGCGGCGGGCGGCGCTGAAGGACCAACAGGTTATGGAGCGACACTGCGGGCTGGCGATCCCCACGAAGCTCAACACTCCCGTCCGAGCCAGGAACGCGCAGGACATGGTGACGCCCTCCCCTCCTGCTCCGCTCTTGCCCTCGAGCCTGACGCACCTCTTCGACCCTCCTGCTCCTCGTCGAGACTCCCGCTCCCCCTCGACCCTCCTGCACTTCGACTCTCCCGCTCGTCCCCCCTTCCTCCTCTGCTCCTCTGCTCCTCTGCTCCTCCTTCCTCTGACCTCCTTCGTCCAGGTCCGCGCCATCCGGCTGGAGCGACTGGGGCAGCAGATGATCTGCGACACTCCGGCCAACAACCAGAACGTGAGGGGGCCGAGCCTGCGCCCTCTTCCCCTCACTTACCCACAGGAAGTCTACACGGCTGACGACCTGCTGCGTATCCTTTGCATGTCTGCCCGCCTCCTCTGTGGGCGACTCGCTGACGACCTGCAGGAGGAGGAAGTTCTATCAGCAGAACAGCGGGAATCTTGACTTGCGGACGGGTAGGAAGAGGGAGAGGGAGGGAGGGAGGGAGGGAGGGAGATGACGCTTGTGCAGGAGGCATCATGATACTCCGGGACTACATCCAAGGTCAGCTGCAGCACTGGAAGCTGCCGCCGGGGCTGTAGAGGAACAAGGAGAGGAGGGCAGGGACCCGACGGTGAGGACGTCGAGGTTGAGGAGGAGACTGATGATGATGTAGAGTACAAGTATAGAAGCAAGAGGAGACACTATGTCGCTACTGTCTAAGGTAGCATGCGCCGAGGGAAGGCGAAGCGCGCAGAGCGCTGCTTGAGCTTTATCGACGGCGGGGAGGTGCCGCTGCTGCTCGCTCGGAGAGCCAGCCTGGAGGCGCTTCAGTGTCAAGGAAAGGAGGAGGAGGAGGAGGAGAGAGGAGGAGGAGATGGAGAGAGGAGGAGGAGAGCGGAGGAGGAGAGAGGAGGAGAGGCTTCAAGAAGAGTGCAGGAAGGGGAGTGGGAGGGAGGAAAATGAGAATACATGATGTTGAAAATGAAGTTTGCCGCGCTGATGGTGAGGATCCGCAAGTGGGAGGGCACAGCAGCGAAGTTGAAGAGATGAACCTGCACAGAAGTCATAGCCCTCCTCTCTCTCTCCCTCCCTCCCTCCACTCACAGGTATCCAGAAGCTCATGCCGCTGCGATGAGTTGGAAGGACTTTCTCCCGGAGCATCCGGACGGGGTGGAAGGAGCTGGGCTGCCGATGACCAGTCAAGTAGTCCCAAAGGTCGACGAAAGTGAAGAACGCGAGCAGAAACGTTGGACCCCAGAACAGCTGCGGTCTCGTCAGAATCGTCCCAACGTGAAACACGTCCTCGCCCTCGCCCTCGCCCTCGCCCTCGCCCCCGCCCCCGCCCCGCACTCGTACTTCTCCACCTCTTCACTTCACCTGGTCCATCAAGAGCTTCTCAGTCACCACACTCCAGCTGGTCCCCTTCCCCAGCACGGCATCCAACAGGCGCAACCTGAGGAGCAGTCACGGACGGGTCGGGGGCGCGTGCTCGTCCTACCAGGCATGGATCATGGGAGTACAGACGACGGACCAGACTGCGAGCCTTATGGCAGACATCCAGCTAACGGCAGCGCCTGCGGCTGCTGCTCAGCCAGCTCTCCGTGCCGCATCCTCCATACCCCGTGCTCGCTCGCGGCGCCTTGAGATCATCTGGGCCACGAGGTCCGCCAGGACGCTCAGGACCACCGCCGAGAGCATCTGAGGGAGGAACATGAGCCGTCGGAGCGACCATGTTGCTTCTCCTCCTACCTGGGCTTGTAGGGGTCGAGCTTGAAAGAAAGTCTTGACGGACTCAGCTGTAAAACCCTCAGCTGTTGGCGCGCAGAACTGGCAGTAGTCACCACCAGCATGCGCAAGTTGCGACAAGGCCGGATGCTCTCGAGGGGGCATGCTGGTGATCAACAGCTGCGAGTACAGGCACATGGCGCTGGGCTCAAGCACAAGGATAATCCAGCTAGATTGGGTTCAGAGCCTCAAACGGTAGTTGTTCTTGTAATAGTTCTTGTATCAGTCGAACTCACTGACTTTGTTCCTGTTCCTGTACTTGCTCTTGCACTTGTTCTTGCACTTGCACTTGTTCTTGCCCTTGTTCACGTCCTCGTCCTCGTCCTCGTCCTCGTCCTCCCCTGTCGCTGTTCCTCTCTAACTTGACGATGGAAAGCTCCTTGCAAGTCCTCCTTGTGCCCTTAAAAGTCAGTCCAGGTACAATTCTTTAAAACTATATTCATTAACGAAAAAAACTCTTTTCGCATTTTCCTCCAGATTCTCTATGGGGCCATTCGGTGGCCGTAACGTTTTGTAACGTATTTAGGATCGAAACGTTGACTTATTGGAACGTTTCGATCTCCTCCCCAATCATGGGTTAGCAGGAGTTTGTCTAAATTTAAGGCAGATCTTCCTTAATTTCAAGGAAATTAGGTCCAATCGACCAGAAATGAAGCTTTTCCTTTTGCATTAGCCTTAAAGTGACGGACTCCCTTCTGTATCCCTCCACAATCAGGTTAAAAGTGGTCACTGTCAGGTTAAAATCAGTGTGAACCACCTTATTACGAGCCATTTTTAGGAGGAATGTAGCTAAATTAAGTAGAGTTCGGCTAAACGATGGCAAACTCCGGCTAAAATAGAACATTCGATGAAAATGACTGGCAGAATCCTGTAAACTTGTTCAGTGCGATGCCACGGACAATGGCGGGGGGCGAGCGGGACCCGGGGACTCTTGAACGCTCATGCTACTAACGGAGCGGGATGCATGCCATGAGGAGGGATGCCATGCCATGATGGGGCGCGAGATGAAGAGGTCGCTCAGTGTTAGCGAAGCAACCCCCGGAGGTTCAATTGTACCATGTCCCGGTGAGTCGGATCCCATGATTCATTCTCTCACGGGTGAGGGCAACCGTGCATGGTGATCACATGGAACATGTCCGGGGGCACTGAGATGTCGGTCCGGGCCCGGAGGCCGGTCGGCCCGGCCACTGGCAAGTTAAGATCACCGATCGGATGTCGGGGAGCCTTGGAGCGTGCTGTATGAGGGGCTCGCTCTCGATGATGCGGCTACACGCTCACTACTGGCATCGAGGGTGGTTTGCCACTTTATCTACCCCATTGTTTCATATGGATAAGGGGGGTGATCACAGTGCTATGGATGACCCCCCACCCCCCTATTTTGCATCTGCAGGATGGCAGCGTGCATGGCGGAAAAGGGAGGAGGAACCGGGGTGTTGTCGTGCACATCATCGTCATCATCGTCATCGTCGTCATCTTCATCATCTTTGTCATGATCTTGACTGGCTGATCCTGTTCTCCGATCCAACATCCATCATCATCTTGTTGCTTCTCAGAATTACTGCGGCGCTACCAAGATCTCACAGAGGAGGTTGTGGTCGTCTTACAAGGATGAAGCCATTTCCTTGCAACTCCCTCCTCCTTTTCCTCCTCCTTCCCATTCTCCTATTCTCTCTCTTCACCCCACTTTCAGCCTCCCCACAAGGACGTGTCCAGGCCACACCAAGCATGCTCACACCCTGTCTCCTCGTTTGCCTGCACGGGCGATGTGCAGTACGACATATCCGAGGAGGGGGGAGGCGAAAAAATGAGCAGCCCACGAGGCTGGAACCAGAGGAGAAGAAGAATAAGGAGATGAAAAAGGAGAGGTACAGGAGGTACCGAGAGATCATGATGAAGAGCAAACAGTACAAGGCCGAGAAAAAAAAGAGCAAGGCAGAGTACGACAAGAAGAGGGAGGAGCTTGACGCGGAGTACGACAGCATCAAGTTGATGCTGACGCCGATCATGAGCTCCCAGACTAGTCGGCGCGTCCCTGGCTCCGTCTTCGACGAGATCCGAAAGGAAATGAGGGCCATCGCCGCCGAGCCCCCAAGGCAGTCGCAGGAGCTGACGGAAGAAGACAAGGCGTTTCTGCAGCGAATGAAGGAGAAGGACGAGGACGAGCCCGTCAACGAGCGGCTGGAAAGATTCAGGGCGACGCGGAGGCTGAGGAGGATGGAGGAGAGGAAGAGCAGGAGGGAGGAGCAGCAGGCGGGTTGATACTGCAACTGATAGAGAACCTGGCAAGATCAGGATAAATTTACAAGAGAAAATTGGGAAGCGAATGAAACAAAAGGCAAAACCAATGCGATATGACAACCATGCCGCTCACTCCCCTTCCCCATCCTCCCCCTCCTCATCCTCGTCTGCCGACTCCGTGTCTCCTCCTGTCTCGTCTGCCTCCTCCTGCACCACCCCGTCACTCGCTCGCTCCCAGCAGCTCCTTACCCCAACCTCCTGCGCCTCATCCGACGAGGACTCGACAGCTTGACTGCAGACCTGGGGAGCTCTCAGACGCAAGGAGCCGGGCAACGGCCGACCTCTCCTACCTCCTCCCCTTGCAGGTTCCGATGCTTCAGGTTCCCCAGCCAGAAGGCGGAGAGGCAGCCGTGGTTGTCGAGCATCGCCTTCACCTTGAAGATTATCCTCTCCAGGTTCTTCTTGAGGTAGGGCACGCTCTTGACCATCCTCTTCTCCTGCTGCACCTTCCCGTGCGCGCAGATGTGCTGGAGCACTCGCGTGCTGGTCTGAGCGAGGCTGGTCAAGTGAGGGCGCTGGGAGGGGAGGAAGAGGACCTGGAAAGTCTTGAGGAGGGGCTGGATGGTGTCTTGCTGCTGTTTGAAGCAGGCGTTCAACGACGGGACGAGCCTGATGAAGGAGGAGACGATCTTGTTGCCGAACTTGAGGCAGTGTATGAGGACACTGGAGTCCTCCCAGGTCTTGGTCAAGTTCACCAGCTGCACCTGGGGACGGTGAGGTTGCGTGCGGACAGATAGCCTACATCTTACAAAGCACTCTACCGCCGTTGTCAGCGTCGGGATGAAGCCGTCAGGCTCCGTCTTCTTGCCGGAGTTCTCCTCTTCGATCTTGGCGAAGATCGAGCTGAGGAGCAAGGTTAGAGCAGCATCGAGAACTTTCTCTCAACACCGACCACATTGTCTCCATGAGGATCGCAAAGAAGCTGACGAAGTTCTGCGACGTGATCGAAGGGTATCCGTCCACGTAAGTCACTCCCTTGCGGTGACTTGGGTCGATCTCGTACAGGAGCTCCTTGGTGATCAGCGAGACGCAGCTGAGGCTGCAGCTGGAAAACTTCACGTACACCTTGAGCAGGTTGCAGAGGGTCTCTCGCTCGGCTGGCTTCTGCGGCACGTCCGGCCACTTCTGCCGGAGACACCACAGGGCAAAAGCGCTGACCTGCTCCCGGAGCACCTCGTTGTCTCCCGAGGACGCGATGTTGGAGAGGAGGAACACGCAGGAGGAGGTCAGGGAGAAGGTTGGGAACTGCTTGACTGGCTCTGCAAAGAAGTTGAAGGCAGAAACTTGGTTCGAGGCCTCCTCCCCGCCCTGCCCTGCTGGAAACTCCTTGAACTTTGCAAGCAGGGGATCGACCCCGAGGCCGTTGGCCATGGAGTACTGGATGCACTTGTTGACGATAGAGATCAACATGTAAAGGCAGTCTATCACGGTTGTGTTGAGCAAGATTTCGTCGTTGTCTATGTCCATCGTCTCCTCAGAGGCTCCAAGTTGCTGTGACAGGTTCACGAACAGGGAGCGCATGGCTGGCCAGAGCTGCACGAGCTGGTCCAGGTAAGAGCCAGGCTCGATCCTCTTGATCCTGAGGTGACCGTTGGAAGCTTTGAAGAAGGGAGAGTGCTTCTTGGTTACCAGCACGTGATTCAGCTGACACCAGAGCTCCTGCAGAGCAGCGAGGAGGGCCTTGGGGGAGAGGAGAACGCCCTGGGAGTTGAGGATGCTGAGGGCGTCGAGCTCGAACTCTCTGAACGAGGTCGACATGGCGCGCAGGTTGTGCATCTCAGTGAAGAATCCGAAGGTAGAGGCCACCTGCAGCTTCGACTTGTTCTGGTGCGCGGCAGTGTTCCCGACACTCGAACAGATCTGGTCCGTCAGGCAACTTGCGGCTGATAGCTGCACCACTCCCTCCCTCCCCTCCCCGTCCTCGACTTGACTCGTCTTCTTCTGCTTCTTCGCCTTGACAGGCTTCAAGTTCTCCTTGTTCATCTCACGCTTCCTCCCCTCGTTCTGATGGCCGTTGGAAACCTCGTGCGGGCAGCTCCCGAGCCTCGGCAGGACCAGCGAGTGGATCCGGAGGATCTCATCCAACTTCTCGAGCATCTCCAGCAGCTGGTTGGCCCTGGTAGCGCACTTGGACCTCATCTCCTCCTCCTCCTGGCACCCGAATGCATTCAGCAGCTCGATGAACCAGTTGCTGGTGTGGAAGAGGAGGAGGGCGATCTGGTTGCGCTCGCTCACAGTCTTGTCTTCGAGGCTGTCCAGCACTTGCTCCTCGAAGAACAAGATCGGACAGCCAAGGAGCGCATCGATCCCACCGAGTTTGCCGTCGTTGGAGGCTCTTTCAGTCGTCTGCATCAGCCTCAGCAGCGCGCACATCTTCTGTACTGAGGTGTCTCCTGCAGTCCTAGAGTTGAGCATCGGGAGGAGCTTGAGGTAGACTTGCGCGTCACTGCCGTCTAGGTTGTAATCGAGTGCCACAGGGAGCGTGGGATGCAGAGCCTTCAAGCCTTCTGTCTCAAGGTTCTCGGGAACGTCGTCCAGAAATTTCTCCTCGAGCTCGCTGGTCAGATTCTCATTGATCCACTCTAGAGTAGACGCCTTCACCGCTACTTGCTGTCTTTCAGCATTGTCCAAAGCGGTCGCTAGCTCGTCGTACAGGAAGATGACAGAATGACTGGAGCTGGCACAGTTCACCTTGACCGTCTCAAGCAGACTGACAGCCTGATCGGTCCTCGAGCGCTTCGTCGATAGCTGGCTAGCGTGCTCCTCATCGGCCTGTGCGTTGTTGATCATGGAGAGAGACATCACCGCTGAAACTGCGCCAATGACTCCATGCTGCATCAGGCGAGATCGAGGACTTGACAGCAGCTTCCGGATGTGGATGAAGACCTCATCATCGAGCCTTGCGGCCTCGTTGTCAGCCGATGTTATGCTCAAGATGCTCAGGATCCGAAACAACTTGCGGATGTGCGAGTCTTTGAAATTCTCCAGGTAATCGAGAACTCCCTTGATGAAGACTGAGAACGGCCGGAGAGCCTGGCAACTCGATTGGGACAGGGTGAGCAGAACGTCCAGAGCAACGTCAATCTGATCATCATTACCGCCTCCAGTATGCGTCAGAATGTTCCCGAGGATCTCCTGGCGGGAGTACTCGTCCGAGAAACAATGGAACAAGGTGATGTACAGATCCCCACCGAACGAGGCCAGGTGAAACTCAGGGGAACGAATCAGCGAGTCAGCGATGAGACATGCATGTTTGAAGTGCGGTTTCAACGCATGCTTAAACTGGTTCACACTCTCTTTGACGAAAGTGAGGGTGAACAGCTTTTGCTCGACCCTGCTCTTGAAAACTCGATCGATCTCACTCTGTCTCCTCTCCTCCACCAACGATCGGATGACAACCAGGGCCCACAGATCAAACGGCTGGTGGTCCTCAGCCCGGGTCACCGACTTGATCTCTGACAGGAGCGCGGCTATGATGTACTTGCGGAACTTCAGACCTGTTGAGATTGCCTCGAATATCAGAGTCTCGTGCTGCATGTGAGAGGCCTCGACGGTCTGAGAGAATCGAACGCTGCCACTGACTGGAACGACAGAAACCGAATTCAGCTGCCTCCTGAGCTCCGACACTGTGCTTCTAGCAAACTCTGGAGTTGTAGATTGCAGCAGATATCGCACAACCATTGGCAGGTCGTGGCTTGAAGCAGATCGGAGCAAATCCTTGAGTTTATCATGAACGTCCAACAGCAGGGTGCTGTCCAAATTGAGGTTCGAGAGCACGTCTAGGACAGCGTTGGTACACTCGGGCTCTGTCTGCATGACATTGTGCAGGTTGGACACAACGCCAGCATGGTCACAGTCCATCACGATCTCTGGGATGATGTTGATGGCGTCCAGCCGGATGGCAAGGGGAGCGATGTCGATGAGCTGCAGGAGCCTCGACGTCAGGTCGGACTCGGGGTGAACTGACTCAATCCACTTCAGCTGGGAGAGGATGAGCCGGGGCACGCTCTCCCGGAAGGATAGCTCCTTGTCATGGCTGTCAAAGTACTCGGGGATCTTGTCGAAGAGTAGCTGGACCAGCCTTGGCTGAACCGCCCACACCCCGAGCAAGATCTTCACCAGGCAGTCGAGGCTCTGTGGGCCCGAGTGCTCCTGAGAGGGCCTGGCAGGAAGGAGCATCAGCTTCAAGTGCTCTGGATCCTCGACGAAGGTCTCAAGGCCCTGCATGAAGTCTGCCTGCGCGTTGCTGTCGTATCCCAGCCTCTTCTCCAACCTCTGCCGGATCGACCCCGGGGCTGCAGAGATGCGAACGCAGCTCTGCTCGAAATGGCAGCCTGCTTCCTCGATCAACTGCTGGAAAAGAGACTTGTCGCTGTCCGACACCATGATCGCGTTCTTGTCACGAGCAGAAGGCGGGGACCTTAACTTCACGACATGGCCAGCCACTGCAGGGACGAAGGATGTCAGGACGAAGCATGTGTAACAAACAGCCTTGTGCCCGAGATGATCATTCGCGAGGAAACACACAGTCTCTCTCTCTCTCTCTCCCTCCC